ATAAAAACATCAAAAAACAAAAGCAGCTTCGTTGCTTTGGATGTATTCACTTCAAATTTTGGTCTTCATATAAATAGTTTGCAACTGCATCCCCAACAACTCAAATTATTATTCCGATATGTTGAAAATGCCATAGAAAATCAGGACACCACATAGAAGCTAAAACTACATCACACGATATCGACAAGGTTTCAAAAATAGCTTCATTGAAGATTCAAGAAACTATAAAAGGTAGATTCGAGAATTCAATACAATGGCAAAACAAAAAAGGGCCATAAACTACCACTAAAAGAATTAAATCACACCAACCGGCAGAAAACGTAACATATCGCCAAGAAACACAAACCTGCTTCAGAGAAACAGGGAATGTCAATTTTTCAGAAACTTCCAAATTCCTCACTATTTCCTTCATAATCTCTCTCCAACTCCTACAAACACCACCACAAGCAACAACATTTCTCCTTTGTGGCCAATTACAATCAGACTCCTCAATTCTAGCAAGCACGTCCCTTAAGAGCTCGGAAGGCATATTAGCCCAACAACTTTGCCGCATAGCATCAACAACACACACATGACGATCCTCAAGCACACGATGGGACCTTGACCTCATCCTCCCAAATTCACCCTTCATATCTTGAATTATACTCTTGAATGACATTATTAACAAATGCTATCTCCAAAATCTGAATAAAATATAGAAATTGCAGGAATCCCTCCTAAAGCTAAAACCCTAAAAATCTAAACTTTTGACAGTATTAATCACAGATTGCCCCATAGAAAAGGCTTTTTGAGGAGTTAAACTTTAAAGTTTCTACCAAGCCGCTTTTCTCTGAAAACATGCTACAAATTTACAATATAAACCCCGACACAAGCAACCCCTGTAAGAATCAGAAACATATTCAGCTAAAGAGGATTTATCTGCACAAAATTTTCGAACCCTAAAATTTAAAATTCTGAAAAGAAAACAAAAGAATAAGAAAAACGTGTGGTCTAAAGAAACACTGTATTCACATATCCATCTAGATGTAAAACAAAAGTTACAAAACCCATCCTAGGGACAAATCAGCATTTCCAGAAAAATATAAAAACAAAACCCGCAACGGACCGAGAGCCACCCAGATCCGTACAAAAATAATATTCCTTCATAAACAAGATCCTGTTTTTTCATTACCAAAAAATGAACAAGATCCCTTTACATTTTTTTTTTTTTTTTGTGATAAATAAGAAAAGGGAAATGAAAGGAAATGGATTTTTACAGCAGGATGAATAATTTATGCAAAACCCCCTTTGATTTTGATTGGAGTTTTTTTGACACGCTTGTATGATAGTTCACACAGTAATTAGAAGAAAAATGGAGTAAAAATGAAGCTTGAGTTGGTAAGGGGTATTCTTTTTTTGTGAATTTTGTGGCCACTGTTTTTGGCTGCTTTATGACTTGGGTTTTTATCGCTTGTGAATCATCATAACGTTGAGTCCTATTCTCCATGGATGCAGTTCTTTTTCAATATTTTACTTTAATGTATTTTATTAATGGTGTTTACATACTAGTATTGGCAAATCACTCGAGAGTTTCATAAAACGCAATTAAACTCTTTAATGCTACTGGAAAAAGTAACAAATAAATCTGCGATTAATCCGGCGAGCATTGCAAAGTCTCATAATAAATGTAATAATTCTAGGATTTTTGATAGTCAATTCGTCATGTCCACTCATCTATTATCTATCGGTCCAAAAAAAAAAAGTTTGACCCTGAAAAAGTAGGGTACATGCGTTTTAATTTCCGTAAGTTGCCAATAAATCAACACGACCCTTTTCAATTTTCTTATCAGTCCTTGAGTTCTTATTGTTTTTTTTTTTTATCGTTAAATATAAATGTATATTTTCAAAAATATTTCGGACAGCCGAATGACTGCATACAGAAGCAAAATAGGCAACCACAAGTCGGTTCCTCATTTTCAAGGTAAGTTATACGAGGCCAACCACAAGTCAGTTGATCACTCTCATGTCACTAGAAACAAAGTGCAAACATAGGGATCCAAAGAAGCCTAAAACATGGGATGTAGCATCAGGTATGCAGTGGCGACTCGTGACCAGGTGTTGCGACTCGAGACTTATAACGTCGAGCCTCTTCAAATCACAAAAATCTGGGCGCTTGTGAGCATGATGTCGCGACTCGCGAGTGGTCGTCGCGACTCGCGAAAATAACAGAGACGAATGAGCATCATCAGGACTCGCAGCCATGAGTCGCGACTCGCGAATAATTGTCGCGACTCACCTGGGAGCATGATGTCGCGACTCGACATCATTTGTTATGTGCACTCTTTACACATTTGTCCTCTTCCCTCTAAACTACCCACATGTATATATAACTATCATTATTAATTATTTACTTTAATTTGTACATAAAATCAGCTCCCACTATAGAAAATCTCAATCGCTATTCACCGCCCCCCTATTACTACTCACCGCCCCTTCCTTGGACAATTTTGCCCCTGACATTTTTTTC